GTTACTTTTGTGTTTATGTGTTACAACACGGTGACCAAAAGCAACTTGTGGAAAAAGAACATATTTTGGCTTACATTTCCTGTAAGGGAGTTCTAGAATCAGGTAGGCAAAGCAGGAGGCTGAGGGATCATTTCTTCAACCTCTAACACAAAGAAAGTGAACAGGATGTGTGGCAAGTTTTTTAATTGCCAAGGGACCTCCCTCAGTGAAATACTTCCTCCAAAGTCACCTCCCCATAACCACGGACCACCTGGGAACTAAGGGTTCAGATATGTCAGGGGATGAGGGATATTTCTGTCAGTGTTCTGGGTTACGCAGGATGATTGAAGAAAGAGGATCGCTCAAGGATGAATTAAGGCCTCTCCAGCAGCAGGGAGATTCATCCTCTGTGGACTGAACGTTGAACAGCTCCCCAAAAGCATATTTATTGATTATTACACAAAAGTTGTCTTTTGGGTAAGACAAGTTTCTCAAACCAAAGTTCCTAATATAACCTATGTTTCCTGAAGGAAAGCATCACACCCCTGTAACTTTAATACTTATTGTGTACTATTTGCAGTACTCAATAATGCAAGCCATTCCAGGTATGCCAAGACTGTTTTGTGACTGTCATGTAAAGAAAGGCTGGAAAGCTCTTTCAGGAAAACAACTCTATAGAGAACAGAAAACAATCACTGTTTTCTACAATGATTTCTTCAAGGTCAAAGTACTTCTGGAAAACAGCTATTCATTCTGATGTCTATCCTAGATACAAAGATTCTACTAGAATTCCACTACACGTTTCTCTTTCAAACAACCACATTCTACTCCCTGGCCCATATAGGGTCAAGGTCATGTCATAAGCAAAATGCATGTAGCCCAACTTGAAAACATCCTATACTCTATTTCAGTCTCAGCACTGTTTAAAAGTGCAAGTCTCTTCTGAGATTCAAGGCAGTCGCTCAACTATAACCCCTTCTAAAATGAAAAACATCAAACTGTGTGTTAGCATGTAGGCAGCCTGTTTCTCGGTTGCCTGGTAACCTATGATGTCATCATGTGTCGCCGGCCAGATGTGTGGCAGATGCACCTGGCACCTGGTTCAGCTTCGAAAGAGATATAAAAAGACCAACACACCACTTTTTTGCTTTCTTGTTCTCTCTGCCTTGGTTTCTCCCCCTTTCCTGGGCACCCTTCCCCACCCCTTTCTCTCTGTCTCTCTGCTCTCATGGCTTGCTCAGGCCTTAACTCCCTTTTCTTTCCCCTCCCCCAAATCAAACTCCTCTGTATCAGATCTGTTGTATATGAGTGCCGTTTTTAATATATCCTAACACTGTGTACTGTCAACAGACAGTAGCGCAGAATACACACTACCATCCCCATAGTGAGGAACAGTAAAGTGAAGAAATTCCACAGTGTTGAACTAGCATAGTGAGGAAATACAGGACCAAAGCAAGACTAAATTCCAGCAGAGAAAATCCAGACTCTGTGCCTCCATGGCCAACATCTCTGATTCCAAAGGCTTTCGATGGCTTGGCTCATCCAGCTTTTAATTCTACAGCGTGCAACCTTCTTTGGCTGGTTCTGCTCCCTCCATGAAGCTCTCTTTGGCAGATATCTCACAGCTCTGGCATCTCAAATATATTGAGGTCTCCACCTCAGCCTTCATAGCCTCACACAATGGCCTCCCAGGCTCTTCTTGCCTCTCAGGGCCTTCTAGGAGCAGTGTTAGCACTGGACCTAAGGGGCTCTCTGAAACCATGCTTTTTTTTTTTAATTTGAAGATCATTTTATAATGTTCTTGTTTACCCTATGAGAACTTCACACAATATATTTTATCATGTTTGTTCTCTTTCCCCAATTCTTCCTAGATCCTCCCTCACCTCCCTACCTACCCAATTTCATGCTCCCTCTCTCAGTGTGTGTGTGTGTATAACAAAAACCAAAACCATAGTCTAGCTTGTGTTGATGAACTACTTCCCGAGTGTGAGGCCGCCCTTGAGTGCGGCTGACATACCTAGCATCGTTGAAGAAAATTGACTTTCTATCTCCCAGCGGCTCTAAATTGCTACCAGCTCCCTGCCCAGGGACGGGACTTCATGCCTATACCTCCTCCTCCATGCTGGGATTTTGTCTGGGTTGATCATGTGCAGACTTTATGCATGCTGTCGGTCTCAATGAGCTCATATAGTCATCTGTCCAGTTGTATCTGAAAAAAAAAAATGCTGTGTCCTTGAAGTCATCCCCCTTCTCCCACCCCTAGCTCTTACAGTAGCTCTGCCTTCTCTTCCACATGGACCCCTGAGCCTTGAAGGAGGGGTGAGATGTAGGCATCCCAGCCAAGATTAAGCATTCCAAGGTCTCTTCCTCTCTGTGTGCTGTCTAGTTGTGGGTCTCTGGGTTAATTGCCATCGACTGCAAGAAGAAGCTGTTCTGGTAAAGTCTGAGCAGTGAACTGACCTGTGAGTATAACAACGGGGCACTATGACTTGGTATAGTTTTATTGCTATAGCCACTTAGCAGAATAAGAATAGTAGGACTTAGGGCTTATGGCCTTAGGGCTTATGGCCTATTGAGTCTCTGGTTCTTGAACCAATTTAAGAAAAGTGGTTGGTTACTTCTGTGACGTTGTTGCCACAATTGCCAACCAGAGGGTTTCATGTCTTGTTAGGCAGGCCGTTATTCTTTACAGGGTCCACAGCTGGGTGAGACTGGTGATCACTTTCCTCTTCCAGTAGCGTGTATGACCTTCTAGCACTGTGAGCATTGGTCAGGAGGGATGAAGTTTCCAGTTGAGCGCCAGCTAGATGTTTCCATATTCTGTGAAACACGAATGTGGTATTTTCAGCAACTGGGCCTTACGGTCAACTTGCAGGTGCTAATCAATAGCGCTGGCCATAGCCTGGGATGTTTGGGGATGTTTATGGGATCCTATCGACTAACAACTCAAAAGCTGTAACCTGTTTCTGGTACTGAGGGTTTTATTTGTTATCATAATGTGTAGTTGGGGTGTCCCCCTCTACAGTATATTAACTCCATTTAAACTCATTTTACATGTGCACATATTTTAGGAAGATGCTGTGGAAATCAGATCCCCTTAGTGGTCTGATTACTGCTAACGAGCAGGAGTCACGTGCCAGGACACTTGCTCCCGGCCCTTCCCATCTTCCTTTCAACACCTGCACATGTTTAAGGCTGTTGGGTGTTTGCCAACCCCAGAGCAGTATTCAGGGCTCAGTGTCCCTCTCTCGTGGGGAGAGGTCAGTAGAGAGACTGACAGTGAACAGTGGGTGGCAGGGAACCTCAGCAGTGAGGCCCACAAGTGAGGGTCCAGACTGCTCCGAGGCTGTTACCTGAGGGGGGGCGGCTAGTTTGGGGGTCTTATTCAAGCCCGCTCAGCACATACCCTGAGTTGAACAGGCCAGGCTCTCTCTTGCTTTCAGGTTTGGCTCTACTGGGGACCTTGAAAGAGGTTCAGCAAGCAAGGAGGGCTCAGCGCTGAATATGTTTATTGCACAGCACAAGGATCCAGCAGAGCTCAGCCACTCAGTTATTTACAACATAGAACACTGAAGCAGATGCCCACCGCCCACGAGGACACTGTCCTGCCACGTGCAATCACGGGTGACTCCTTGCTGCCCCAGGAGGGGGTTCTGTCATGGCACTCGGAGCCTCAGCCTTCACCAGCCACACCCAGCAGGAGGAGGCCAAGCAGCAGGAACAGGAGGCTCAGAGCACTGCTTGCGCTTGATCCCCTTGTGGCCCCTGAAGAGAGGAAGCCTTTCAGATCTAGAAAAGAACACGGGAACACATACAGTGCATGGCTGCAGCAACAGAATGATGCCTGAACCCATTCTCACTAAAGCCCTCCTCTGCCTGGCTCTGAACTCAGCCCCTCTAAGGGTTGGGACCCTGCCCTCCTCGTGTGTGTAAGGTATCTGCATGCTTGTGGAGGCCAAAGGTCAACCTTGGTTGTCATTCTTCAGGCACATTTTTTTTTTTTGAGACACAAACAAACAGAAATTGTTGGTGTCAGGTGTGGTGGTACACATCTTTAATCCCAGCTCTTGGGATGCAGAGGCAGGTGGGTTCCAGGCTAGCCAGAGAGATACAGTGATATCCTGTATGTCTCAAAAGAGGAGGAGGACTGGAGGAGGGGGAGAGGAGGCAGACAAGGAGAAGGAAGGGGAGGAGGGAGACTCGAGATTGATGGAGTTCCCTGGCATAGAACCTGGTCATGCATAGACCCCGGCACATAGCATCAGGGGAGGACAGGGTCAATCACACGGGGTCACCTTCTCTGAGAGAATGGAGCCCACAGGGGAAGATTCAGGTCCCTTAGGCAGTTGATTCTTACACACAAACTGCAAGTTCAAGTGCACAGTTTCAGCAGGCTCTGTGAGTCTAGGGCCCCAATCTGGACCCGAGACCACTATGGGGTGTGCTTGCAAGGTGATTGCTTGAGATTAGAAAGAAAAAAATTAGAGTGTCCACTGTACATTTAGATGAAAGCTAGGCCAGGCAGTGGTGGCGCACGCCTTTAATCCCAGCACTTCGGAGGCAGAGGCAGGTGGATCTCTATTAGTTCATGTTCCAGGACATCCAGGGCTACACAGAGAAACCCTGTCTTGAAAAAAAAAGTTTTTATTAATAGTATGTTTATTAAAATCTACTTCAGTTCTTCTTCTGTGAACCTCCACTATTCTTTGCCATGGTAAGGGAAAAAAAAATTCCTGCTCCTAGCGGAAAACTTATTACTGGCACCTGAGATGTTATATTTATCAAAAGGTCTTCTAGATTTGGGGGCATGCCAGAGACCTTTGCCACCCACGCCTGTTACTTTTGCACATATGCGAAAAAGAAAGAAATGAAGCCAAGTTTGACAACTTGCTGCCTGTCTGAGCACTTCTCTTGCTGAACAAACAACAGGATCAACTTATCTTTCACTCTTGGAGGTGTTAGAAGCTTCTGTGCTGAGGGAAGCATTCCAGCTCAGGGTGAGACACGGACTCAGCGTTTCTGAAATCCACAGTCCACAGCCTCTGTCAGAAGGCCCCCTGAGTCCAGTGTCCCCTGCTTCTGTCCTTACACCACAAGAGCCATGCCCATCAAAGCAACGCCTCCCACGGAGCAGGTCTGGGATGGTTGAATGAAATCCTGGGTATACACCACAAGCTCAGAGCTTCATCCAGGGGCTGGGTCTACCCACTTATTTATTCATGTACTTGTTGGTTGGTTTTCTTTTAATTGTTGCCAGAGGTGCTGTTTAAAGGAAAAAAGCTGAGGGCCAGAAGGTGGCTCCAAGGATAGGAGTGCTTGCTGCTCTAGCAGAGGACCAGAGTTCTGTTCCCAGCATTCATGTCTGGTGGCCAAAACCTCCTAGCTCCGGTTCCTCAAGCCCTCTTCTGCCTTCATGGACATCTGCACGTACATGACATGCACACAGAGGCACACAGGCACACACAAATTTTTTTAAAAAATTATTGTAAAGAGAAAAGTAAAATTGTAGCTGCTCTGCCTGGGTCCATCTCATGTTCGGATTTCCACACCAGCAGTTCCCTCTTTCCCCCATGTTTGTTGCTAGAGGCTGGACCCAGGGTTTAGAATGTTCTAAATACCTAAATATGAGTGCTACTCGGGCTATCACCGAGCTACACGATAGTCAATTTTTTGCATTTCTGAAGATGGAACTCAGGGCCTGGCACGCGCTAATCAAGGGCTCTAGTGATAAGTCCCACTGCCAGCCCTTCAGGAGTTGGTGCTCGGGATCACTAATTGTTCATTCTTGAGGGCTGCTCTAGCCTGAGCTAGGGGGAAGCTTTTTTTCTTTCTCTGGGAGCACCCAGTCAGAGTGGCTGTTGGAGAATCTTAGCCTGAGGGCTGCTGGGGGAAGGCCTAACTTTGTAGGATGATATCCCTTTGTGCCCCTTCCCACCTGTAGATATTTCTTTTCACAGTATAATTATCACAAATGTCGTTTTTCATGTTGCCTTCAAAGCCATCAGTGACCTATTATGAAGGGATCTCAAACACCTTCTTACGCTTATTTGGGATTGACTTTAAAGCGTGGCCACTTCTCAACGTTATGAATAAAACTATCACACAAGAAGCCATTCTTTTCATGCTGAGAATTACTCTTACAGGAGAGGCACAGGAGTGACACCAGTGAGAGTTTTCCTCACTGAGTTTCACTGTCCTCAGATGGAGAGGCCACGGATGGCCGATTCATGAACTGTAATGGAAGCCAATGAGGTGAGTGTCCGGAACACACTGATTAAGAATCCAGTCAGCACAACCGCAGGGATGGCCCTTCTTATCCCACAGACATCAGCTGGAGATGGCACCCCCTGTTGCTGTCACCCAGAGGGTCGGGGCAGGCAGTGCAGCTGGGGCCCTGCTCTGATACTGCCGGTCCTGACTGAACGGCCCGGGGCGGAGGAGGAAGGGACGTCTGGTGGAGGGGTTCAGAGGCATGAACAAGGCTCCGGGATTTCATTTCATTCAGTGTTCGTTGGGCACCGTGCACAGCTAAATCACCCGGGAGTGACAGAGGTGGGGTGGGCGAGCGAGGGGGGCGGGGGCGCGGCGGCACTGGGCTGAAGGGTCAGCCTTCACTGGCTATGCCTCCCCTGGAAGTCCAAACCCGCTCCTGTTTAGGGAAGGAAGGCTGTGGCACACCAGCTTGAAATGCGGCAGCCCCTCCCTTCCTGCTCCGTGCTGTCCTCGTGGCCCCAGTGTTTGGACGCCACCAGTGACCTACTCAGCTCACTTAGCCTCCGGTTAACTCTGCTCTGCACCTTGCAGCCCCTGGGACCCCCAAGGCTCTGGGACGCTGCTCGCAAACCACCGTGGATCCAGCAAGTCCCTCCAAGGAAACTAAATAACGATAATAAGTTCGCGGCGGCCTCAAAATGGCTGGAGCCTTGTTGAGCGGTGCATGGATCTAATTTGCTCATTTCAATGTTTCCTGGCACACGCAGACCTTCTGTGGAGTGGTGTGCCAACCACTAACAACAAAGACACAAGTGTACACGTGTGTGCGGTAGAAGTGTGTTGGGGGCGGGGTTGGGGGTGGCGTGCGGGTGGGGAGGGTGCACTTACCACAGTGGCCAAACGTTTGGCGTGGAAGACAGTACAGGGCTGAGAAGATGCACCTGCAGAGGCGGCAGCCGTGCAAGGTCCAGGCGCCATGCCCCAGGGCGCCACAGTCTCTGCAAAGGCCAGGGCAGGTCAGCTTCCTGTCAGTGTGCCCCTCCCTCCCGGGCCAGTTCCCGCCCAGCCCACTTGTGCTCCACCCACCTGCGCCTCTGGTCGTGCTCGCAGTAGCGGCCCGTGAAGTGCTCGGGGCACACGCAGAAACTGCCCAGAACGCAGGTGCCTCCATTGTGGCAGCAGCGGGACCCAGGGACCACACCTGCGGGGTGACCTGGGTCATCAGCGGTGCTGGCCTCAGGAGTCTGGCAAGTCCCCTCCCTCGGAGGGCGGGGCACCACAGCCTGGGAGGGGACCATGCCTGCTGGGTGTGTTTGCTAGGTAAATCCCACTCTTTAGTCGGAGGCTGAACAACAAGCTAGCAGGAATGTGGGCGGGGTCCGGGACAGCCCTTGACACCCTCCAAGTTGTTTCTTCTCTCGCTTTCTCCCCCTTCCTCCGCTAAAGTCGGCCTGTGAATCTGTGGACAGTGATTAACCACAGGCCCCCCAGGCGGGACCACCCGTGGGTGTGATGTCCCCAGCCCCGCCCGGAACCCCTGGGCGTGCTGGAGCTGCCTGGCCGTCAGGGAGAAGCCTGTTGTCCTGGTTACAGAGCAAAGCTGCTGCGTTTGCCAATGCAACCGTGAAACTGCAGAGTTCGCGTCATTAAAATTTCCTTTGCACTTTTTTTTTTTAATTAAACTTGAAGGTGAAAAGATGCTCTTGGCGGTGTTCCCTTTCCACCCTGATTTTCACCACTTGTTTGTCCAGTCCCAGCACTGGGGATCCACTGACAGACCCAACACTTACTCTCTCCAAAAGTCCTGGCGTGGGGAGGGGAATCTCGTGGGCGCCACCCCTGCTGGCTGCCGTTCTCTCTACTGGAATTAGTCAGGGTCCCGTCCAGTGGCGTCCCCGAGAGCTTTGAAGATAGGATATTGCTGACTTCAACGCTGGCACCGTCTTGTTTGCTCCGGGAGCCTTTGAAGGACAACAACGTTTAAGAGACTAATAATGACCGAGAAAAGGACATTCTACGCCTTAGAACTGATAAAAAGTTACCTACTGTTTCCCATTTGGATGATCTGTAATGCTATAGTCATCAGGAACAGAGTCCTAGAATATTTAAAAGAAATCATTGAAGATTCAAGTGTACACTCAGCATAAGCAAAATTCACACGTCAATCATAATGTACAAAATATAGCACGTTTATAACTTAATAAAAATTCCAAGCATCTGCAATCATTGTAGCATTTTGTAGATTTTTAAAATGCCATCGCAGTTTAGAGAGGTTTCTTTTTCTTGCTCTCTTTCTCTTTTTATTTCAATTTTTATTTATTCATTTTACATCCCTGTTGTAGCCCCCTCCCTCCTCTCCTCCAGGCCCAACCCTCTCTCCCTCCCTGTCCTCCTCCCCTACTTCTCAAAGAAGGGACACCTCCCTACCCACCCACCTCAGCATATCAAGTCCAATGAGGACTAAGATTAAAAAAACAAAAACAAAAAAACAGCCTGAGGCTTCTAACCCCCTAGCCTCACTTCCTGTGGGACTTATGTCCTTACCTGGTGTGGTGCCTTTTCAAACCAGCAGCTGGGATTGTTGAATCCCATCTCATCTGTGCTTGGGGATCGATGGTCACAAAAGCTGAAACTCAGTGCCCTGGCCCTGGAGGGATGTTTACTCCAGATCTTGCAGTCCCTAGAGCAGTCACGGAATGCACAAGCTTGCAAGAGGGGGTGTCCCTGTCCTCTGCCTGGAGCAGGAGACCTCAGGGCTGAAGGAAGAGCTGTGAGAGTCCAGGTGCTGAAGACCCCTCAGGTCAGGGCTGCTGTGCCATTCAGCCTTGAAGTGCGGTCCCCTAGAGAGTCCTGGCTGAGGAGGAGGAGGAAACAGGCTGCCTGCCTCCCCGGTGCTATTTACAGTGATGACAACAGCAGGGTGGCCAATCCCTGATGTCAACCAAGAGGAACTAAGGCAACAGCCCCCCCCCCCAACCTCACCAGAAAACAAACAAGAAACTGAAAAGGCTGGCACCCCAACATGACCAAAGAGCTTTGGCAAGAGATAGAAGCAGAGACTTTCTATTGTATAGCCCTTGGACTGAGAGATTTGAAGGGCTCAGTTAGAGAGGGGAGCTGGGCAGTGGGACATAGCAGCTGAGGATGCTTCCATATGTCCTGCTGCTGAGCAGGAAGGCAAAGAGGGACCCTGCAGGCTCGGCATCCTTGGGGGAGGGGGGTATCTGCTTCCACACATGGAGACTCTGCCCTCTGCCCTCCTCTGCCCTCCTCTGCCCTGCACAGCGCTCTCTGGGTGACTTCTTCCTCCTTTCTGTCAGAGCTGAGGAGGCCGAACCTCCCGTGCTTAAGCCCTCTGCCCAGTAGATCACTGAGGAAAAGAACATGCAGGCGTTATGATGAGCCCACAGCCCATCTGAGCACGCTCCCTCCTGCCAGAGCCGAGATGCCACAGCCTGAATCACTGGAGTGGGTGACCTGGGGCTTCTGCTGAGACAGGAGCCCTGTCTGTATCATAAGAGGGGACACTGAGCAACAGGTGTGAGAAGTTCTTCTACGACTTTAAGGTAGAAACTCATTTCTTAAAAATGTTGTTTCCTCTGAGGTTGAAAAAATGCTGGGCACTAATTTGATTTATTTTTCCTTTAAATATAAGCTTCATCAAAGAGGCTGTTAAGCCAGGAAGGAATTAATTGGTGAGCCTCCCTAGCCTCTGACCTCCCAGTGAAAGGATCTGTGAGGTTCCCGACAAAATAAATAAATAAATAAATAAATTGGCAAACGAAGTAGGCAAGATGCACAGAGAGGATGGTGCCTCAGGACTTCCGGGAGACAAAAGTGCACCTTTCAATGTTACGTTTATTACTGGTGAAATACTCAGCTCAATCACACGTACAAAACAAATACATTTTATAGCTTTAAATCTATACAAACTTTCACATGAGCTAAATGATTGTATATTTTAAAAGTATAAGATTAGAGAGATGGTTCAGCAGTTAAGAGCAATTGCCCTTGCAGAGGATCTGAGTTTGATTCCCATTCCCACATGGCTGTTCATAACTCCAGGGGATTCAAACTCTCTTCCAATGTCCACAGGCACCAGGCAAGCATGTGGTGCACAGACATGCAGACAAGCAAAATATTCATACACATAAAATGAAATAAATCTTTAAAAAGTCATTCTTAAGCTAAAAGAGTGAATGTATTTCTCTGTATAAACAAGTTTTAAAATGGTCATTGTACAGACTGCTATGGGAATTTCCTCATAATACTCAAACTTAAAGAAACTATATGAAATTTTATCTTTTCCACGTGATTTCTTTTACTAAAATTTTCATAGTTGTACATTTCAAAGCATCCACGAGAGCTGGGAAATTGATCCAGTAAATTCAGACTCACTCCATAAGTGTGACCCTGGCCAATCCCATTTCCTCCTGGGCTTAAACTTCCATGGAGTCACAAAGAGCAATTCCCAGACACTGTGGCACCCACATGTCTGTCTTGCTGTTGTTCACCTGTGGCTCATTTGCTTGATAGGCAGGAGCCAAACCTCCTGAGCCGCATGTCCACTGCTCAGATGAGGCTTGGAAAACCTACACTTCATCAGCGGAGACTGTAGATAAAAGAAAGAAATGCCTGGCCTGCAGACAGAAGAGAGAGACAAGGAGCAGCCTGGGATGCCCCATCTCTAGGGCTTACCTCAGCCCAGGGGCCTGAGGAGCATCAGAGAGAGGCCCTGGGTGACAGAACTGTTGATAAACTTTCTCACTATACTGTCACTTGCTCTGCAGCAGGCCTTTGTGGCCCAGGATGAGCCATTTACTCCCCATCAAAGGAGGAGTTTGGCATGTCACCCCAGTCAGAGCTGCTGCATGTCTGCCACCAAGGAGACCCAGCAGGCAGGCTGATTGGGAGAGGGAGAGAGGACCTCTCTCCTGTTATCAGCTGTAGAAGATAAGACTGGAGCCACCAATCCCACCTCCTGGGGGGCACTCTAATTCATGCAGCCTGTGGGAACCAGGACCTCCCTGGCCCAGGATAGGATGGCAGGCTGTCCCTTGTGCTCTGCTCAGCACCCAAAACTATCACTGAGGAAATGACCTGATACAGACAGGCGTGAAGGCTTCTCTGAGAATGGCTTAGAGCTGCTTGGGTTCAGAGGGGAGGAAAATGTGGCTGATCCAAACTCCTGGCTGCTTGGCTGAGCCACTCTGTCTGTCTGGTCTCTTCTCCTAGCTGCATCATGGGAGTGAAGCCGTATTGTGTTTTGTGAGAGAGAAAGAGAGAGAGAGAGTATGTGTATATGTGTGTGTGTGTCACTGAGCCCAGAGCTTTATGCCCTGCCCAGGTACTCTTCTGCCCGTGTCTGTCTTTTTGTGCTTGGCTGACTTCAGGCTGCAGAATGCTGCGAGGTTCATGGATGTTGCTGTGTGCATCAGAGCCTTGCTGCTCTCTGACTCTGTGTTTCTACAGTGTTTCATGTGTCCAGCATCTGTGGATGGACTCTTGGCTATTCCTACAGTTAGTAGAATATAGAAGCTGGACAGCTGTCTACATGCCAGTGAGGGGGAACCAAACCTTCTGGAATGTTGGTCAAGGACTTCCAGCCTTTAAATGTGAGAAAATCAGCTTTGAGCATTTGCGTTGCCCAGGCCAGGATTTCTCATTTACATTTTCTTTTTTGTGCTGGGACAATACTCGGGTCATCTGCATATTGAGCAACACCCCAGCCATGTTTTCCCATTATTCTTATAATAATTTAGTAATTTCTATCAGGCCCAGAGTGTGCTACTACTCATGGTCTTTCTGGAAGTACAGGCAGCTCTCCTTTTCCTCAGGATGCTCCACAGACATGTTCATTCACCAGAAGAACCTTGCTGACAACCCTCTCCTGCAATGACATTAGCCCAAGAGATGATCTTTAAATCAAATAGCCCATCTGGACTGTTCTAGATGTAACCCTGTTCGGGGAAGAGTAGGGATGGGAGAAAACTACATCAATTAGCATATAAAAGAATCCAGTTGACAACATCTGGAAACCCTTCTCAACCTAGGCTTCAAAGCTCTCAGCAAGTCCACCAAAACCAGGAACAAGACAAGGTTGTTCACTCCCCCAAGTCCCATTCACCATGGTACTTGAAGTATTAGCTACAGCAATATGACAAGAGGAAGAAGTACAGGAAAGGAAGAAGTCAAACATTTTTATTTGCAGATGATACAGTTCTATAAAGGCCACACCAGAAGTCCCGAACACATTATGTGATGTAGTATGATACAAAAATAACACATAAAAATCAGCAGTCTTCCTCTATATCAACCACAAAGAAGTCAGTAAAACAATCCATTCACAAACTTTAAAAAAAAAAAAATCTAAGAATAAATATAACTGACGAAGTGAAAGAGCTATACAATGAAAACTTTAGCACACTAAAAAAAAAAAAGAAGTTGAGGAAGACACCAGAAGATGGAATGATGCCCCATGCTCATGGGTTCACGGGATTAATGTTGTGAAAATGGTCACCCTTCACAAAGCAATCTATATACACACTGAAAACAATCTCCACCAAACTCTCAATCTCAATGCTATTCTTTACAGAAATTGAAAATAAACAAAACAACAGCAACAACAACAACAACAACAACAAAATGAAACTCAGGATTCATGGAGAAACACAAAAGCTCCTGGATAGCTGAAATAATCCTGAACAATAAAAAACACTAACAGAGGAATTACTGTCCCTGATTTCAAGATACACTATAAGGTTTATAGTTACAAAAACAAACAAAAAAACAAAACCAACATGGTATTGCATACAAACAGACACACTAATTAATGAGATGGAATTGAGGACCAAGATGTAAGCCCCCACTCCTATAGCCACCTGACTTTTTTTTTTTTTAACAAAAAGACCAAAAAATACACACTAGACAAACTACTGCCTCTTTAACAAATCAGGATGGTGAAAGTGGATCTCTACATGGAGAAGAATGTGTTAGATCCAGTGAAGGCTGGAAGAAGGGTCAGGACCCCCGGAGCTGAAGTTACAAGTGGTTGGTTGTGAGTTTCCCAATGTAGGTGCTGGGAACGTACTCCAGTCCTCTGCAAAACAGCAAGCACCCTTCACCTTTGAATTGTCTCTGCAACCATTTTTGTTTTGCTTTAGATGATTTATTGTTATTTTATCTGCATTGGTGTGTCTCTGTGTGAGAGTGTCAGATGCCCCAGAATTGGAGTTACAGACAGGTGTGGGTGCGGGGAATTGAACCTAGGACCTCGGCAAGCGCACCCAGTGCTTTTAACCACTGAGCCATCTCTCCAGCAATTTCTCAAACAAGAGAACACCTTAACGGCTGCTACAGCAGACTAATGTGAGATGCAATCTCAGTGTAGTTTTCTTTAATTTTTTATTTAACTTTTATTAATTACACTTTATTCATTTTGTATCCCCCCATAAGCCCCTCCCTCCTTCCCTCCCGGTCCCACCCTCCCCCGTCCCACCCTTCCCCCCCCCCTCAGTGTAGTTTTAATTTGTGTTAAGGATGCTAAGTGCATTTACCATCATTTGAACATCACCTTTTGAGAACTGTTTGCTCATTCATTGAGCCCAATTTATTCACTTGATTGCTTGATTTCTTGTTGCAAGTTTTTTGAGTTCTCTGTATATTCTAGACATTACTCCTCTGTCAGATGTGAGCTGGCATAGCTGTTCTCTCATTTTATAGGCTCTATCTCTACCTGCTTAGTTCCCTCACTGTTTGCACACCTGCTTATTTCAGAAAATCCCATTTGTAAATTGTTGACATTATTCCTCGAGTGACTATTCAGAAAACCCTTGCCTATGCTGGCATTTTTTTGTGCTTCCCTTCTCCTACTGTTTCTCTCTAA